TGCTGCTGCTGCTGCTGCTGCTGCAGCCGGCCCCTGCGGCTTCCCCGCAGACTTGCCGCTGCACTGCTTGGTCCCCTTTGCTCCTCTGCCGGAGACACAGACTCAGGAGGCCGCTGTTTTGCTTCTCTCGACCGAGGGCACCCTGAAGCGTCAGCAGCGGCTGCAGCAGGCTCAGCAGCAGCAACGGCAGCAGCAGCGGCAACAGCAGCAGCAGCAGCAGTGTCACCAGCACAAGCCCGGTTCCGCCTTACGTCATGCACCTTCAGCAACAGCCCTACGGGAACAGCGACAGCGAGAACCGTGTACGAGGCAGCAGCAGCAGCAACGGAAGCAGCAAGAGGTGCAGCAGCAGCGGCAGGAGAAGCTGCAGCTCCAGCACCGTATGCAGACATTTCCTGCAATCAGCTGCACTGCTCTTAATGCAGTGGACTCTGCTGCTCTCTTGGCAGCAGATGACGTCTGCGGCATCGCGGGGTTTTTGCATAACGGGCCTCCGCCGCCGGTCTTTGCTGCTGCGCCCACGACGGCTTTCGGCAGCAGCAGCAGCAGCAGCAGCAGCTGGGCTGTAGGTCCGGGTCAACGTAGTCTCTGCGGCAACTTGCTGCTGCTGTCTGACCAGTCGTTAACAGTGCCTCTGCTTCTGCTGCCCTCCTGTCCTCAGAAGTGTCCCCTAAGTGCTTCTTCCCGTTTGCTGCAGGACCTGCTGCCAGCAGCAGCAGCAGCAACCCCTTGGCGGCGCTCTTTGTGTGTCTCTCTGGAACGCTGCTGCTTAGTTGCTGCTGTCTTTGTTGGGGCCCACCCCACGGCCGCACGGCTTGCCGCTGCGCTGAAGAAAGCAGCAGCAAAGCGCCGGCCGCTGCAGCAGCAGATGGCTGCCTCTTCTGAGAGCGGAGCCGCAGCAGAGGGCCAACAGAGACAAAGGCAGAAGCAGCAGCTGCAGCAGCAGGAGCAGCAGCGGCGGCCACAGAGTGGGAGGGCGGAAATGTCCTCTCTTTCTGCTGCAGCAGCTGCTGCCTGCGGCTCTGTATTTATGCAGTGCTGCCCACTTGACGGCTTCATATCTCTCCTCATATGTCCTGCTGCAGCTGTGCGCGTGACGCACTGGTGCCATTCTGCTGCTGCTGCTGCTGCTGCTGCTGCGCCACCTCTGTCTGAGCCGCCCCCAGCGCGGGGCCCCAAAGAGCTGTCTGGTGTTGGCAGCTCCGTTGGTTGTTTTTATTTCTTTTTGAGGAACAAATGCTGCGTCGCGCTGCCTCCGGAAACGGCAGCAGCAGCTGCTGCTGCTGGGGACTCGCAGGGAGACTTCCAGCAACAGATTTGCCTCATCCAGGGAAATATTTTTTGTCCCCTAAAGGACCCTTTGCCCAATGGCAGGGCTGCTGGGGAGGGGCCCCAGCAGCAAGATAGCCTCATAGTAAAGGGGGAGCACCCCGCTGCTTCAGCCCCGCAAGCTGCAGCACAGAGGAACGCATGCAGCAGCAAGAAGCAGCTGCTGCAGGAGCCCGCGGCTGCGCCGGCTGCTGCTGCATCAAAGCCTCAACGGAGACAGTCCCTTCGCCTCGGCCGCGAGGTGACGCTTCGCGTGCCGCCGGAGCAGTTTGCTGCCCTGCAGCGGCTGGCCTTCTACGTGGGACTGCAGCAGGCTCCGCAGCAGGCAGCAGCAGACCCAGCAGCAGACGCAGCAGCAGCAGCAGACGCAGCCAAGAGGCGCACTCCGGGTATTTTCTGGGATCCGCAGCTCCCGGAATCTTTCTTTTACAGAGATATTTTGGCAGAGCCCCTTTTGGAGGAGCTCCAGCTCCGCAGCTGGGCGAGAAGTGGCCAGTGGGCAGCTCCCGGTGTGTGCACTGAGCAGCAGCAGCAGCAGCAGCAGCAGCAGCGGCAGCAGCAGCAGCGGCAAGCTGGCAGCAAGCGATGCAGGGAGGCCCCAGACTCGCTGCCTCCGATGTCTGCGTGGACCTTCATACGCTGGACTGCTGCTGAGAAAGAGGAGCAGCAGGAAGCAGCAGGGGGGGCCCCCTCCTCACCTGGGGGCCCCAGGAGCAGCGCCGCCGTTGAGGGGCCCCCTAGTGAGGAGGAAGCAGCCAAGTGGCTCGCAAGGCAGCTCGATGAAGAAGTTTGCTTCTGCGGGCGTGGACTTGGACGGGAGCCAGCAGCTGCGGCGGCAGCCGCTGCTGTTGCAGCTGCTGCTGCTGTAACTGCTACTGCAGGCGGCCCCAGCCGCTGCCCTGAGTGCCTGCTGCTGCTGGCTCGGTGGACTCTCCAGTGCCGCTCAGCAGTGCATGCGGAGGCCCAGGGGACCCACAGCTCGGTCTCGAGCCTCATGGCAGCAGCAGAGAAGTGGCTGGGGAGTCTCCCGCCCGCGCTGCTGTTGGGGGCCCCTGGGGCCCCTGCTGCACCAAAGAGGCCCCGGGTTTCCCTCAAAGGGTTCACAGTAGCAGACATTATCCTCCAGCCGCTGCGCTTGGGGGCCCCTGCCGGTGAAAAGCCCCAAGAGGGTTTAGGACGGCTGGCCCCCCGGGGCGTGGACTGGCTTGTTGTCAGGTGAGGCCTTTGAAGTGCCCTCAGAAAAAGGGGCTGGGCGGGGGCCCCCAGGAGCCCCCTCTGAGGGTTTAAGGGGCCCCTCTCTGAGGGTCTAACAGGCCCCTCTCTAAGGGCTTAAGGAGAAAGAAGGGGGCGAGGCTGCGCGGCGTGAGCCTGGCTTCTGCAGTGAGACTTAGCCACAGATGGGGTTGACGTTATTTTGTCTGCAGGCTGGCGGGCGCCCCCTGGTTTGGGGCCCCCGGGCCCCGGACCAGGGGAAGTGCAAGAAGCCACAGCCCCAGCTGTGTGGACAGGGGGGCCCCCGGGGAAGACACGGGCTTTGTGGACCTCTGGGTGCCCCCAGCTGTTGTGCCTGGGAGATTCGATTTGCTGCAAGTTGGCATGCAGGTAAACTTGGGGCCCTGCCTGCTGGTGCTGCGGGCGGCACCGCCGTGGCCGCAGCCCTACCGGCGGCTCCGCGAAGCAGCAGCAGCAGCAGCGCCAGCAGCAGGGAAGGCAGCAGCAGCATCAGCTGCTGCTGCTGCTGCAGCGGCTCCCCCAGCAGCAGCTGGGGGATCTGCAGCCCCCACCAGCAAACAGAGCTTGGGAATGCTGCCAGGGGAGGCGCTGGGGAGCTGGCTGCCTCCGCTGTTGAGGGCCTGGGCAGCAGCGCTGGGCGAAGCAGGTGGGGAGGGTCTGGGGAGGCCTTTTGCTGCTCGCTGCTCCAAGTGCATGCGCTGCAGCGCTGCAGCAAGCCCCACAGCCCCGCTAAGAGAGCAGCAGCGGCTGCTCTCCCTCGCTCTGGGGAGTGCCTTTCCGTGTGGCCAGGCCCGAGCCTCACAGCGCGCTAGGGACCCTGCGGGGCTGGCAAAAGCCTCCAAGTGCTGCGACCTGCAGCACCAGCAGCAGCAGCAACAGCAGCGCCAAGGCGCCGTGGGATTGCAGCAGCAAAAGGGCCGCGTGGCACTGCAGCAGCAGGAGCCACGGGGGGAGCCCCTGGGTATGGCTGGAGCCACAGCGCTGTGGGAAGTGCTTCTGGAGGCCACCCCAGCAACAGAAGTGAGCTGTGTTGGGTTTGCTGCTGCTGCAGTTTCCCTGAGGGCTATTCCCTCTCAACAAGCAGTGGAGGGCCCGCCTTCTTTTAGGAATACTTCTTGGCTGGGAAGCAGCAAAGGCCCACCACGGGGCCAGCCAGCTGGAGCTGGGCCTTTGCTGCCAGCCTCTGGCCCCGCAGCAGCAGCTGCGCGCTACACGCACCCGCTGCTGCAGCAGCTGCGGCACCGCTACGCTCTTGCCCCCGGGGGGCTTCCGCTGAGTGCAGCAGAGGCGGCAGAGGCTGAGGCATTAGGCCAGGAACCGGTGGCCTCCGCAGGTTCTCCAGCGCAGCCCCCTTGGCTGGGGGTTGCTCCTCACCTGGCCAGCTGCAGCAGCAGCAGCAGCAGCAGCTGCTACTGCTGCCTTGGGGAAAAAAGAGCAGCAGGAGAGCCTCCCGGAGTGCCAGTGAGCCTCAGACTGCCTCCTTTATTTCGTGGGACGGAGAACAGCTCTCGCCTGGCAGCGAGAGCTGGGGGCCCGCGTCCAGGGGCCCCCAGCCCCAGGGCCGGGGGCCCCCTTCCAGGGGTCCCCCGGCCTTGCACTGGCCACGCTGCTGAGGGCTGCCCTGGCCACACAAAAGCCTGTAGTCACAACCAGCAAAGCAAGGGGGAGCAGCGCAGCCCACGCAGTGGTGGCTGCTGCGTGGCCAAGGCTAAGGGGCAAGAGTTACGGGCCGGCGTTGGTGCTGCTGCTTCTGCCACCTTTGCAGTGTCCCCACAGAGGATAATAAACACTTCGGCCTGTGGCCTCTACTGCGGGTCAGTGGAGGGCCTTTTGGCGCTTCACCTGTCTTTCGCGTGCCGCCGCTGCCTCAGCGAGCCCAGCAGCAGCAGCAGCAGCAGCGGCAGCAGCAGGCGCTGCGCCTGTGGGGCGGCCGCGCAAGGTGAATACGACATGAGCAGCAGATTTGGGGGCATTCAAATGGGGGCCCTTGTTGCTGTTGAAGAAGCTGCCACAGGGAGACTGCTGCTTGTCCTTTTTCAAAACGCAGCAGCCTTCCGCCTGCTGCAGCACCTTGGCTGCCTCAGCCACTCCTCGGATGCAGAGGCGCTCGACGCATGCGTTGCAGCCATCGTGCATGCGCAGACAGATCAGCAGCAGCAGCAGCAGCAGCAAGACCTGCTAGCGAGTAGCAGCCGCGGGGTCCTCGCCTACGGCGTCCTGTGCTGCGACGCATGCAACGCTGCCGCTACATGGGTGCTAAATTCAGGCGAGGGATTCTTAAAGGGGGGCTCCAGCATTCGAGTCCGAAAGCGAATTCAAGTGGAGGGTCTTATACGCCCTGTTGGCCCTTTTCAAGTTTGCTGGCCTCGTGCTGAGTTTGCTGCTGCTGCTGCTGCTGCTGCTGCTGCTGCGGGGGATGCGGGTGCAGCGGACCGCACTCGATGCCTTGGGCAGCCGCAGACACTGTGCCTCCCGGTCATCTTTGCAGTAGACTGGGTAGCTCTCACAGCAGCAGATACGCTGCTCAACATTCACAATGAGTATATGGACTTGATGCAGCAGCAACATTAATAGCGATCCTTTCACCCTCGCAGCTAGTTGCATTTTCAAAAGCAACAGCACCTGCTGGTGCTGCTTCTACTTACCCTCAGGTGCTCAAATGATCTCCTGTGGTTCAAAAAGCCGGAAAACCAACAAAATACGTAAGGGAAACTCCGCACTTTTGCTGCTGCGGCTTTATGACTGTTAGTTTCTGGTCTGCGTGCTGCGCCTGACTGAACATTTCCTAGTGGCAGCAGCAGCTGCTTCTGACCTTAAAAGCTGCGCTCATGAGCCCTATGGGGGGTGGCTACAAATGGCATTTAGGAACATTTTCAAGTAAACAAATGCTCACAGAGAAAGTTAAGAATGGAACCCCAGCGATATAGGTCTTTTCAGACTGCACTGGGGGTTGGAAAAAGAAGAAAAAGAGTGAAACGGGTGCCTCTTTCACATAAAACTCTGAGTGTAAATGAGTGAAAAGGGTGCCCCCTTCACAGGAAAATTTGACTTTGGCCAGCAGCTCATCGGCTCATCGGCTGCCTGCGTGGCCGTAGGCCTGCTTGAGAGACTCGAGAGCCTCAAAAGCAACTTGAGCATCTGCATCAAGGGCTTCTTGGGCCTGCTTAGAGTCAGCAGCAGAAGCTGCAGCTGCTGCGGCTCCCCCAGGGCCCGCCCCTGCCCACTCTGCGCCCTGGAAAAGACAATGCATACAGCAAAATTCAAGAATAAAAAGTCATTCCACACAATTTAATCCCTCTGTAAGTATCACTGTGCGAAGCTTTTGGTGACTAAAACCCCAAACCCTAAACCCTCAGCCCAAGGAATTCGCGGTAGCTTCATTGCCTAGAGTAGTGCTGCAGCAGTTCGCCTGGTGCTGCTGCTCCACTTGCTGCGCAACAACGAGAAGCCCCCAGCATATTTATTAATATTCGGCAGTGCAGGCTAGAAATCATCTCCCACATCAGGGCTCGGGGGCTCATCCGGAGAAATGCTTCTCCCACAGACAACCTCCTTAGAAGTTCCTTCAGCCGCAGTCTTGCTGCCCTGGTGAGTCCGGAGCCGTCGGGGGTGGCCGTTAGTGTCATTTTCTCCGAAATCATCGTCGTCGAGTTCCAGGGCTTCAAACCTTCTACTCTGCGCGCCGACCAGGAAACGAATCATCTTTTGAATAACATGAAATGTAGGCGACTGCATGCCTCCACACTAGAGCAAGCCTCTCTATTTCGGTGCAGACAGAGCAGCAGGAAAGTGCCAAAATTCAGGAGTGGGGGCAAAGCAAAGAATAGGCAGAAAGGGGTTGGGGCCGAGGCCCACCTGCAGCGACGGCAAGCGCTCAAGGGTATCCGTGCCCAGCAACGAGCTCACACACGAGGTCAGATCCTCGGCTGCTGCAGGAGGCTGCTGGTGCTGCTGCTGCTGGCTAGGATTTGTGAAATTGGCGAACTCCGCGGCTTGCGGGCAGCAAGCAGCTGCAATGTGTGCAACAAAGCTCCTCAGGTTGCGGTCGAGGACTGCAGAGTACAGCGCTCTCAGGTGCACAGAGTGCACAGTCCAGCCTGCAGCACCACGCAGATCGCTCACAGCAGCAGCCTTTTCGTCGAATGTGACTGTGCACTTTCTCCGCCAAAGAGGCTCCCGAATGGCTCATTGTTTGGGTTCTGTGCATGCTTAGCTGAGCGCTGCTTACCCAGAAAAGTGAGCTGGCGCTGGCGCAACTCTGCGGTGGCCGTAGGCTTATTAGATGGCGCCAGAAGGTCCTGCAAAGTGTCAAAAACAGACAAAACGAGAAACTCATTCATTCTTCGGCAGCCCCCAAGGAAAGGATCCAATGCATAACATCCGCCGCTGCTGGGCTCGGCTGCCTCCTCGATGCAGACACCAAGAAGAGCCAAGAGTAAAAGTGCTGCATCAGGCTGCTTCAAGGGGGCCCTGTGGGACCCCCATCAAAAACACAGTCTTACTTGAAACGTGAGGACGTCAATGAGATGCTTTTCGATTGGGAACGCCACACTGACTCTGTAGATATCCTCCAACACGAAAGTGACCTTGTGAGGTATCCTCATCTGGGAAACAAAGCCAAACAAATCGGTGGAAGACAACTGCAATTCACAATGCGTGTGCATTAGCTGTCTCGCTTTATAAAAAAAAGACGGCGCATGCGACTGGTCGCAAAGAGGGAAAAAGGACAAAAGATGAGCCTCTGCCCTCTGCTGCCACCAAGCATTCTCATCCAAAGTCAGCGAGAGCTGCTTATTCTGCCATTGCGCAATTTCAACACTTCCGATTTTCATGTATGGCTCGAAGTGCTTCACGTCTAGACTGCTTGCTCATAATTAGCTCTTCTATACGCTAAGGTAGGAGTCAAGTTCGCGAAAAGTGCTGTGCTGAAGTCATGCATGTTGTGAAACGCTAGACTGTGGTAGTCGAAAACCTAAGTAGCCTGCATTCACTGCATCTCACGAAGAAACCAGCCACTCATCCGGCCCAAAATATCTGGAAAAGCGTCCTCCAGCATGCACATTCCGCAGATAGAGTTGTGTATAGGTGGCTTCATTCTGCACTCCTGTATGCTGCTGCATGTGCCGAAAGCAGCCGCGGCACTCGGGCAGCTTCTGCAGCGTCTTTACGCGCAGCGATATTGCCAGCAGCAGTACAGCCCCACCTGTATGAGGGGCTCAGAGAGCCAAGCGTCATAGTTGTAGTCCTTGACGCGCAACCGAGACGTTCCGGGCCCATACTTGCTCTGGTGACCCCCCTTGTGGAACACGTCGTACCGGGGGGCCCCCAAAACCGACTGCAGCCACCCCTTCAGCTGTTTTGAGGGCTGGCCCCCTAACGACGGCCCAGCAAACCGAGAGACATGGAGACAAACCTGCTGCGCCGGGAGCAGATCCAGAGGCAGCCGAGGTCCGTAGAGACTGAGCAGCAACTAAGCAGCAAGCCGGCTTCAAAATGCCCATTTGCTCCGCCACTGCAGCAGCAGACACTGCGACACTAGCGGAGCCCCACTGCAGAGACCCCTTGCTAAACAAGCTCACTATGAGCCTCACCTTGCAGCTTCCTCCAGTAGAGGCAGTAAGTAGTCTTCTTCTCCAAGGGAGACGCAGACAAAGGCCAGCCTCAAGAGACTCTCAGCAAGCGCTGAGGAGTGCGGGTTATCATCCCCCGCGTTTGCATTGTTCTGTAGAACCCCCTTGTCAAGGCCAGGCGGCAAGGTCTCGCCCCCCCTGTACCTCCCGAGCTGGTGGGCTTCGCAGAATTCCTCTCTCTCTTCTGCAGCCAGAAATGAAACGGATGATTCCCCAGGTGCAGCACCTGCTGCTTCTGGGGAATCCTCTGGTACAGCAGCTGCTGCAGGGGAGTCCTTTGCTCCGTAGCGCCGGGTCAGCACGTAGCGCAGCACATTCCGAGTCCAGCCAAGACTGAAGTGAGTCTGCAGGAAGCCACGCCGCACAAGCTTTCGCTGCTGCTGCTGCTGCAGTCAGTCGAGACAGGCTAAAGCAGTTAAGACAGGGTCTCAAGCCTCGGAGGCACACCGCAGCAGGAACCTCTTCAGCTCAGTCTTCGAGATGCAGCCGTTGAGTTTCATCACGAGACCGCAATGAATGTATAGGCATGAAGACAAATAAAGAAGCTCCATGTCCCGGTGCCGTCCTCACCTCCGTAGTGGCCCAAAGAAAGTGGCAAAGAGAAGGCAGCGCCAAAGCCTCTCCTTCTGTTTCTATCTTGTGTTGCAGGCCCTCAGCCATTCTGTACACAGCACAGCGAAATCCATAGCAGCTCTTCACAAGTCCTTTCTGCAGTGGCCAGCAGCTCACCGCAAGCTGGCTGAGCAGTTCAGCAGAAAGCTTGCACGGGTGTGCATTCTGTATGCAGAGAAGAAACTAGGTGCTTGAATAGCCTACCCTTAGGTCAGCCTACAGTGGAGTTGCTGATCTGTAAATGTAGTTAGTTCTCGCATTCCTAAATCTTTCCATGCAACTACTTTGGGCCGTTTCCACTCTGTTTAGACAGCAACCCCTGACCCACTTGATGAAAGCGTCGTCTACGAATCCAATCTGCGCGCAGGCAAACAGCAGCGCCGCGGTCGAGTCGGGATCGATAGTCATGCCTGCAAGCCGTTGGAGCTGCGCAGAGAGGGCAGCCTGCACCTTGAGGCGTCTGTGGATGTGGGTGCGGATCAGCAGCCTTTCTTCTGCCCGCAGGGCTGCAAAGCACCCTAAGAGACGCAGAAACTCCCGGGTAGAGGCGCGCCCCAGCAAGTAGGCGAGCCGGCGCATGGCCAGCTGCAGCAGCTGCGGGTCCGGCAGTCGCAGCAATAGCAGCGCATGCAGCAGGTCGCACAGGCTCGCGCAGTCCAGGCACCAGTGGCTGCGCAGTTTGATCTGTAGCTGGTGCTGCAGCTGCTGCTGGAGCTGGGGAGGACGAGCAGCGCAGTCGACCTTGCTCAGTAGCAGCAGCAGCTGCACGCAGTCTTCCGCAAAAAGCCGTTCCACCTTCCGCCCAACGGCGCGCAGGAGCTGAGGGACCGCCGGGTGCGATAGGTACTCCGCTTCAGAGAGCCCTATGAGGGCTTGTGCCACCCCTTCTGGCGGCAGCGCATGCAAACGTTGCTGCAGCATGCTGCAGCAGCTGGCGAGAGCTCGAGTGTCTGTACACCCCCCAACGCCCAAGCCGTAAACTGTGCGTGAGAGCTGCTTCGGAGAGAATGAAGGCATCTGGCTGACGACCTTTTCAGCCAAGACTTTCGTGAACTCCGCGTTGGAATACCCCAGAACTGCGAAGGCCACCGCTGTGGTTGCGAGCTGCTGAGGGCTGAAGGCGCTCAAGTGCGGCAGCATCGTCACACTCAAGTCAGCCAAAAACTCTTCGTCTTGCATCCCTGAGGCGCAGCAGAAGGCAGACTTTGCCAAGACTGGGTGAGTTCCCCCTTACTTCGCTCAAAAGCTGCAAATGCACCTATCGAATTTCGCTCAGAGTTTGCCTTTCAGCACGTCTGGGGTCCTTAAACGGAACTACAAAACGAGCAA